ATTATACAACCGCCGGTATGAGCACCTGATGATTCTAAATTTATAAAAGAATAACCTAAAAATTCAAGCTCTTTTTCAAAGATTAAGAACGTTATGTGGGTTTTATTCTAAGTATATGAAGTTTAAATTTTTGTACATATAGTGTAACTCTGTCAAGTTTATTTATGAGATCATTTAAATTCGCATATGCAATTTTAATGTCTTTTACTACTATTGATTGCTAGTTGTCATACTTTAATTCCACTCTATTTTTAATGTCAATATATACTGGACATTTTTTATTGAATGCACAATGTTGAGGATTTATCATTAAATTGAGTTTTTTGTATAAATCAATCAACACACCGATTGCTTTTGCGATTTTGACAATCTTTACTGTAATGATCTCCTGAACAGTAGCAACATGAAGGAGTATTAAAGTTACAATTTTTTGCTACATGATTGTCACCTTGACAACGGTAACATTGAATAATATTTATATGTTTTCTAATTTGCACAGACTCCCAGCCAATTGCTAATATGCCGTTTTTGTTGTTTATAACAGGCTTGGTCGCGAAGCGGGCGCGATCGCTCTCGAATACTGACCACGGAAATTATATTTAGTTGCGAAAAACTGGCCAGGTTTTTAGTCGTTTTGAGAACATTTAAGTTTTTGTACAAAACAAAAAATATTTGTTTTACGGATATACATGGAAACATAAAAAACTTGAATGTTCTTAAAACATCTTGGTGCGAAAGAATAAAAAGAATATTCGCGAACACTAAAAGCCCGCTAAATTAATGAACAAACTAATTCTATTAGTTTAAAAAATACGCAGTTCTAGAGTATTCTGTTGAAATGCTATAGTAATTGCATTATTCACGATTTGTTAAGTTTTGAGATTTCTAGCATTATTTGTTTTAAGAATATATATTATTTGTTTACAAAAATAAATCTTTTAAATATATATTAATTAAATTGTCAAAATTTTAAAAGTTTATTATAAATTATAGATTTTATTAGTATGTTCTTATTTTTTATTTAAAAAGTATGTATTCTTTATGTAAACGTAATTTTGTGTATCTGTTTTTTATCGTAATGTATCTTTTAAAGCAATTTTAATGAATCAAACTAAGACTTACAAAAATAATTACGTTTTCGACAAAGTTATAATCGTTAAAGTTAATAAAACTAATTAACAAACATATAAGAAGTTTCTGGATACTAAACACAAGCAACGCATACAAAGTAACTCTCGGATAAACAAGAACCGCGCCTGAGGTTACGACAGAACACAAATATATATTACAAATATTAGATATAAAAAAAAGTTTCTAGTAATTGGTTTACTAACTCTAATTATTTTTTTGCCACTCTTAAGACTCGTTATACTTTTTTCGGCTAATTAAAATTTAAAAGGCTAATACTAATTAAAATTTAAAAGCCCACTCACTAAACATCATCAGCGATAATGTGAAGCAGTTTCGCTTCCTTGTCTTAGAGTATTTTTTACCTTTTTAGTTGAAGTCTATCTTGTTAATTTAATTTCTATAGTAATTCAATGATTTAATTATTTCATTTGTTTATCTTACTAAGAAGAATTGCTTCAAATATGTTAAACTTTTCAAATTACGCGAAATATAAAATAGGTATTAAAAAAATTAACTTTTTTTATTTAAAAAATAATTTAGCTTAAATAAAACTGAAATTTGCGCTTACAAGCGCTATGTTTAGGTACGCATGCGTGAGAAAATGCAAAAAACTTTTGAACTTTTAAAATTGCTACGGTTCTTAACTACAGGGTATATTTTATATGGCAACCGTGTAATTTGTTATTTGATCTCTAAATACTAAATGTTGTAGCCTTATTTTTATGTAGATCAGTATATTATTACAAAAATTTCACAAAAATATAAATAAAAAAAGGATAAAAAGGATAAAAGGATAAAATCTGACTGTAGGATTTAAATAATTATTTTTTTGAACTTCAGATAATTATGTTCTATATTTATGATATTTTTCTTGTCACTGCTTCAATTTTTTTCAATACAAAAACTTGCTTTTACTGTTATGACTATTTACTAATAATATTAGTAAATAGTAATATATATATATATATATATATATATATATATATATATATATATATATATATATATATATATATATATATATATATACATATATATATATATATATATATATATATATATATATATATATATATATATATAAATATATATATATATATATATATATATATACATATATATATATATAAATATATATATATAAATTAGTAGAAAATCATTTAGCAAAATTTTATATATATATATATATATATATATATATATATATATATATATATATATATATATATATATATATATATATATATATATATATATATATATATATATATATATATGTATATATATATATATATATCTACTATAGTATATTTATATGCGCAACTCCTCACTTTTTTTGCTAGCCTAAATTAAGTGAGCATTTTTAGAAAACGATGAGGGAAAACGAAGAATAATGAATGAAAAGGTTGCTGACCCATACCAAACCCTCAGTCGATGTAGCAGCACTCCACTGCGAGTCAGGCTATTTGTCAGTCGATGTATGTACTGAACCCCCCGGCAGCAGGCTATTTGACGTTAGGTGAGTATGACATCATCACGCTCACCTAACTCAGCAGTATAAGATATATATGTGTGTATATATATATATATATATATATATATATATATATATATATATATATATATATATATATATATATATATATATATATATATATATATATATATATATATATATATATATATATATATATATATATATATATATATATATGCTTTTGTTACCTAAACTATGCAAATATTTTTTCGCAGTAAAATTCTTTGCAAGTAATATAAAAAAATAAGTTATGATACAAGTAAGTATTTTTTAACTGTATAAGTGCATATATTTGCATATATAAACTGTTTAAATGCATATATTTGCATAATTATATTTAAAAAGTAGGGAAAGTCTAAGCATAAGAGTATTCTTTTTTACTGCATTTTTTACTTTCTCGTTGCAATATTCAATAAACTTAGTACAAAGTATAATAAAATATTTTGATTTAATAATAATCTGTAAGCGATTTAACTGGTAGAATAACTTTTTTTATAATTATTTTAGTTTTAAGTTATGTTAATATTGATTTGATTTAATTGACTTACTTATTTGAAGTTAAACAAAAACTGCAAAGTGCCAAATATAAATAACTTTTCGTATACAGAGCAAAAGTTTCATCTGCAACCAGTCTTGGCATAACTTATGTGATAGAATTGTGCAAATCTTGTATTGAAACTATTTTAAAAATTATAAACTCTTGCTTGTGAACAACAATTTATGAAAATTAAGCTTCTGGGAGATCACAAATGTTATAATTGGAAGTTAACATTAAGAGCAAGAAATCAAACAAAACATTTTAGGCAGATGAACATGTGAAATTTTATGGAAGAAATTTTGGGAATTATTATGTTTTTTATTTCTGCTACGCCATACATAGTGCAGCAGAAATAAAAAGCAAAACAAAGACATTTTATTTTTTATTTCTGCTACAGCATAGCAGCATAAGCTTTAAAAAAGGATTAAAGAAATATATTTTATATAGTTACACTACATTATATACTTGTTAATATAAGACAGCTTTGTATTAAAATATAATAATACAAATATGTTATTCATAATTCAAGCCCTTAATATATATATATATATATATATATATATATATATATATATATATATATATATATATATATATATATATATATATATATATATATATATATATATATATATATATATATATATATATATATATATTAATATTATTATATTAATATATTGTTTATATATTTTACTGTTACATCCATTATCAGGAACTAGCTAAATTACTAATATTTATAATATAAGAACAAAATTTTTGGTACTAAAAATTAATTTTGCTTTTTTTTTTTTTGTTACTTGCGTTACAGTTTTGATAATATACTTGTTTGTCAACTTGTTTCTTGCGCAGCGGCCTTGTTCACTGAGGTTCATGTTTCGGAGTTATAGAAAGGGTTGTAACTACAAAAGTGCCCGTACGAAAATTTCCCATGGGAATTTTAGAAAAAAAACCCATGGAAAAACCATGGGTATTTGGAACACGTTCCCATGAAAAAACCATGAGTTTTCCATGAAAAAACCATGAGTTTTCCATGGAAAAACCATGAGTTTTCCATGGAAAAACCATGAGTTCTCCATGGAAAAACCATGAGTTTTCCATGGAAAAACCATGAGTTTTCCATGGAAAAACCATGAGTTTTCCATGGAAAAACCATGAGTTTTCCATGGAAAACACATGAATTTCCCATGAAAAATCTTTAAGTTTTTCATGGAAAAGTGTTCCAAATACCATGGATATTCAATGATTTTCCATCCATGGAAAAACCATGGAATTTCCATAGGTATTAGGAACACCTTTCCAATGAAAACTTATGGATTTTTCATGGTAAAAAAGCATGATTTGTTTTCAAGTTTTTTATCTAATGTTATTTGAATTGTCATATTAAATCATAAAAGCAAATTTTATCCCACTATTATTGAGTTCTCTTAATCTATGAGATCGCTTTCTTCAAATAAAATCAATAAACAAAATAAAATTTAAATCTTGCTAAATCCTACAAATCTTTGAAAAATAATAGCTATAATGCACCTAAAACATCAAAACTTGACTTCCCCACAATATTTAATGCACGCATATGTATAACATACTGAAAATAAATAAAACAAAAAATTACAAGTAATGTAATACTATAAGTGATATACATAGTGATAAACAATTGAAATTTATCAAGAAAACAATTTTTACAAAAAATAAAACAATTTACATGTTTATTATTTTATATTAACTATTTGATAAAAATAGTATATATAAATTTGATAATAACTTCAAGTTTTAACAAGTTAAAAAGAACCATCAATACAACATATTTAATTCAAAAAAACATCAAGCCCATTTATAAATGCGTCTGTACTGTATCTGTAGAAACAGGTAGATGTTAAACAAAGTACCATTCACATATTAATATTCATTTTTTTTCACCCTAGTTAGTCTCATTCTCCATTTCACCAATCTAGACAATACATCATACAACTATTATATACATTCTAACTAGTTTTCTTTATTTACTAATTCATTTTACTTATAATTATTATCTATTATAACTTACTTTATAATTAGGCATTATACACAATTATGAATGTTGCCAAATGTTAGGTATATAGAAAAAAGTAGCAATGAATATATCATTATTTATAAATACAAATTATTAGATTGTTACCTCTTTTTTGCCTAAGCTATCTGCATTATGTACAACATCGTTTATATTTCCAGTCAAACATTCCTGCCTATAATGTAACTTTATTAAAATGATTTATTCAAACTAATACATATATAAATGTTACCTGCATGTTAGAAACATTTATATAGAACAAGGCAGCAACAAATATTATATTATATATTTACTTTTGTAATTAAAAAAAAAACTTACTTCTTCTTCTGAGCTATCTGCATGATGTACAACATCATTTACAAACCTGTTTTCTTCACGTCCTTCCATTTTTTAATATATTATAAAGCACAGGACTTGTTAATGAACGGCTAAATAAATAAATTAAAAATTTATATTTAAATGAAATGATAAGGTTAAAATGAAAAGATTTATATACATATATAAATTTTACCTGCATGTTAGTAACATTTATATAGAATAAGGCAGCAACAAATATAGTATAACTTATAAATTGTAATTTTAAGTAAAAACTTACTTCTTTGTCTGAGCTGTCTGCATGATGTACAACATTATTTATATTGTCAAACTTACCTGCTTATAATGCAGTAACTTAAATAAAATGATAAAGTTAAAATAAAAGAACTTACGCACATACCATTAAATTCAAAAATTTATTATATTTTTACTTCACTATTTAAAACATAACAAATATGTAATTTATAAAGTATAGTAATGTAAAAGCATAGTAAATATCAAAGTGTGTGCAAAAATTAAATTATTTTAACTAAAGACGAGCACTTTACATCAGTTAAATATAAACAAATAAAAATAATTGTATTATAATAAATAATAGTGTATTATTTATAAACATTGCTTTTATATGCTTATATTTAACTATGAAGTAAAATCTTGTGCATTAAGTAAATTCCCTTACTGATACTTATAAAATATTACCACAGTTTTCCTTCTCCAACTAAGTGGTTCTTGGAACATCCTTACAAGTTGAATCCCAAAGATTACGTTTATATCTTTTCTGGTTTAAACTCAATTCACCATTTTATTTTGACAGCTTTTGAACTATTCTTAAAAATATTAAATGCATATAAAAACTGACGATGTTATAAACAATATAAACGATGAACAACATTATTTATATTGCCAGTCAAACCTGTTGGCTTATAATGTAGTAATTTAAATGAAATAATAAAGTAAATATAAAAGAATTTATAAACATTATTTATATTACATTATTTACATATTCTAATAATTCTAAAGAAAAAACTACAACAAAAAGACAAAAACAACTTAACAGAACTAAAATTGAATAGAACATTTATCATAAAAAAATGTTTTTTAATACTTAATGAACATTTACGATACAATAAACTTCAAGCATTTTTATGTAATCTAAGGCTATTATAAAAAAAAAATAAAAAAGATCATACTAGTTATCTTTTGTACATTAGTTATCTAATCTTATTATCTTAGTTATCTAATCTTATCTAATATACTGCTTGTATATTAATATTTTAAATAAGTTTCTTTAATACGTTTGATAAATTTTATAATAATAATTATACTAGTTTGAGTGTACATTAAATTACACTATGTACATTAATACACTAGTTATTTAATGTAGATTAAAACTAAACATTTATTTGTTGTAAACCAAATAATAATTATTTGGCAAATAATTTGCCAAGTAGGCATTAAAATTCAAACTGGTTTACTTGACATACTTGCTATACTATTGCAAGTTATGCAAAGTAAGCAAAGCTACTGGAAACAGTTAAAATAAGTATATGCATAAATGATATATAATAAAATATAATTAAAAATAATCCCTTTTATAATGCATTATAATATGATAAATATATCTAGTTGTTTATGTCTGTATGTTTAGTTAAAACATATAAATGTATTGCATTATAAAAAACATATAATTCATAGCCTTATTAAACACAGAAAAACAGAAGAATGCAGTAAGTATTGTTTTCTAATTTAAAAATAATCATAACTCTACGAGCTATGACGCCATCTTTAAAAGCGCATTTGTAACAACCATGGCGCAGCTTAAGCTATGAAAAAAAAAAACATGGTTCACCCATGGAAATTCCATAGGATTTCAATTTTCATGAAATTTACCCATGGAAATTCCCGTTTTTCATTGGAAAACCATGGTTTACTCATGGAATTCCATGGGTTTTCCATGGAATATTTCCGTAAGGGTGGCCTCCTTGACTGTAGTCAATGTAGAGGTGAATAATTATATATATATATATATATATATATATATATATATATATATATATATATATATATATATATATATATATATATATATATATATATATATATATATATATATATATATATATATATATATATATATATATATATATATATATGTATATATATATATATATATATATATATATATATATATATATATATATATATATATATATATATATATATATATATATATATATATATTACAAACAAATATTAGCAATTTAGCTAATTTTTGGTACTGCAGGTACCAGAATATCAAAATACAATATAAACAATTTTGATTTTATGTGGCTTTTTAAATATTATTTAATTCAACATATGATTGGAACCGTAAGTGCACTGTATTATTATCAGCTTATTTATTATTAAGATATTTTTTAAAACTTCTTTAGCTATATGTTATTATTATTTTTATTAAAGTTACCTAATATTTTTAATTTCAGTTAGAGCATAAAAGTAAAATTGTTCACACTTTGTTTTGATGATAAGTACTTCATACTTATAAGGTCGTCCCCAAAAAACAATATTTTTTAAAAATATAGCTGCCACGACCGTATTGCAAACTGTGTGGAATAAAGAATATTTGTTTCTCTTTCCAAACAACACGACCGTGTTGCAAACTGTGTGGAATAAAGAATATTTGTTTCCTTTTTAAACGATCGTAAGATGTTACTTTATATAAAAAACATCGTTTAATTTTATTAAAAAATTATAAAAAAGCGATGTTTCGAAAATATTTGTTCTAAACGTAGCTTTAAGTTTTTTCGCGTTTAAAGATATTTTATTTGCCTAATTTTATTATTTTTGTAACTGTCTCTCATCGGCCCAATTAATCTTTTGCGCTTTTTTTTTTGCTTTTTAAAATGTTCTCAAAACGACTAAAAAATCTGGCCAGCTTTTCGCAACAAAGTATAATTTACGTGGTCAGCAAATGAGAGCGATCGCTCCCGCTTCCCGACCAAGCCTGTTATAATGTATTCATATGTGTTTATATCTATATCAGCAATAACCAGTTCATATTTATTCTTTGCCTTGTCATTCAAAATATTTAAAGCTATTATATTGTTTCCTAATATCTTATTGATTAACTCATCGTATATTTGGTAATCTTAAATTCAATCCTTTTCATTTTTTAGTGTTACATTTTTCAACTGAGACATTTAAACCTAATTTTCCTTTAATTTCCTGATATAGTTTGTCTTTTGATTACTTTTTTTATTAGGTATATAGATTTTAATTTTTTTTTTTTTTCTTTTTTTGGTTTTTTATTTTGTTCTCCTTTAACCTTTATTATTGTTTTAGGAAAAAATTATATTATTTTATTATTAAAGTATTTACTTTATACTTTAAATTTTTATTTTAGTGTTGATTTTTTGTAAAAGTTTTCAAAATTATAGTACTCAATTCTAAATTATGCATTTTTTCAAACTTTCATCTCTTTAAATAGGTAATAAAAGATATAAAGTAGTACCAGTATAAATAATACAAATAAAAATCAATAATTTACAAAACCAAACTGGAATTGATTAAAGTAGAATTAAACTCATTACTTTTGTTACTATTTTCATTTATTGTTTACCAGAAAAAGTCATTTTTTATCATTTGTAACCAGATTTGTTTATTACCAGACTCATTCATATCTAGGTTCATCTATTCAGTGTCGGATCAAGGGGGGGGGGCTATAGCCCCAGGCCCCGCAAGTTTAGAGGCCCCAAAAAATTTTAGAGAACCTTTTTTTTTTTTTTGTCATTTTTAGGCTCTGGACCATAAAAAGACCTCCAAAAACAAAAATAGCCCTGGGCCCCAAGAAGTCTTAATCCGCCACTCCATCTATTTGTTACCAGATTCATTTATTACCAGATTTATTGTAACCCCAGATTTATCTCTTATTTACCAAATTTTATTTCGTAAAACATTAAAAAAGGAAATATTTTTTGTGTGTGTGAATAAAAATGCAACAATAAATAATTTTTTAGATCTACCTACATATAAAAAGTTTCTATTTTTTTCATTTAGTTTTCTGAATACTTTTTTCATTTAGTTTTCTGGATACTTCAATACTAATGGAGCAAATATACACAGCATTACATTGAAAGTAAACAAAAGAAATTGTTTTAGAGACTTTTTAATTGAAATTCCGGTGAGGCTGAGTTATCAAAACAAACTTGGTATATTAAGAGTTGTTACAATGGCATATCAAAAAAGTTTTACTTGTTTATATAAAGTTTTACCTAAAATACCAAGAGATAAAAATGCTCTTTCAGGTTAAGTTTTAGATTTTGTTGATTCTTAAAACTGAAGTTTTTTTAACTTTCAAGATTTTTTTTAGTGCTAAAATACTATTACATTATATTATATATATATATGCTTTTTAATCAGAATATTATGGACGCGGAATCTATATAGACAATGAAAGGTTTGATCTTTACTTTTGCGTGAATCAACATGTTGAAAGGTGAATTTCTTTCCTATATTTTTTATAGTAATAATTCAAACATTTAATGCTATTAATACTTTTTTAGTATAGTACCTGCATGCTATTATTCTAAAATACATGGTGGTAATAGTTTATGGACAGGTAAGACTCATAATATATATACATACATATATATTTATATATATATATATATATATATATATATATATATATATATATATATATATATATATATATATATATATATATATATATATATATATATATATATATATATATTTATATATATGTATATATATATATATATATATATATATATATATATATATATATATATATATATATATATATATATATATATATATATATATATATATATATATATAGTTGGTAAGCATGATTAATAGCAGAAATTGCTAAATAAACAAACTAACCTTTAACATTTTTTATATTTATAATAGTTAAATTAAAAAATAAAACAAACTCATGCAGTTTAATTTCCTATTATATTTGTATTATATTATTTTTCATAATCGTGAAAAATATTTACAAAATAATTGAAGAAATTAACTTATTAGCATTTATTAATTCAAAAATACTTTACATTGCTGTAAAAAGATTGCAAAAGAAAAATGCATTTTTAAGATAGTAAAGCCGATTGTCTAAAGCTGCAAATACCTTGCAAACATCTCAGAAGCTGCCCAAAAAAAGAAGGATATGTCAAATCTACCAAATAGTAATATTACTATTTGCTAGATTTGACATATAGTAATACAAAATAAGTATCATAACCATAAAAGAAGAGACTATTATTATTACATTAAATGGGTTTGAATCAATGTTAATTTTTTATTTTATTGAACTGGCTTAATACCAAATAAAAAAAAAGAATAAAATTTTCATCAACTTTCATAAACAACTTATGAGTGGTCTTCTTAGATATAAGTGATTTTTGGAGCAGCATTAATCTTTCAGTATTGGTTTGCGAATCAGGAGAAATCTAGACCAAAATATTTTGAATCTTAAGAGATAAAACTTTAAAAATAGGGTACAAACTAACTGCTTCTTCCAGCGTCAATTACAGGAACATATGTAACTCTTTTTGAAAGAAAGAGTTATATACATTATTTATAGCTATTTAATAAAATAAAATAATGAGATGATACTTAATATTAATTATATTTCTAAATTTTTTGCGTCTTAGTTTACTTAATTAGACTATAATTTCTGGCATTAGAATTAGAAATCATTTTTATCCAAAAATTAATAAACACAGAAAAAATTTTACTGCAACATCTTGTAACAGCTGTTTTTTATCTACAAGTGACAACATTGAATTTATTGCTTGGCTTCTATTATTGATGGAACTATTTATAACAGAAAAATAAGGAAATCACTTTAAACTATGACATTTACTAAATTATTTTTGTCGATTTTACAAGCAGTTTGAAAATATCTTGTTATAAAATGCTAAACTTGAATAACTTGAATTTTGTAATAATATATAAACTTGAATTTTGTGATTTTAAAGACACGTCTAAATCTTCAAGTACACCTTCTTCATAATTAGAGTCTTGCTATAATGTAGATTCAGTTGAAAGTTGAGGAAAAATGGATTGTTGGCTGTGAAAGTCGAATCAAACAAGATCAGAGTGACTATCTGCAGCAGAAAAAACAGCTTTAACAGGAGAAAATTTCTTTAAACTTTAAACAAAAGAGCTGAGCTCATCATTTTTTGCTAAGGATACAACTTCCTTTTTCAGATTTTGTTCATTTAAAACGGCCACAAATGTTTCAGAATCAACTTCACATCCATTTCACATGATGCCACTTATCTTACTGTTACCAAACTTCTTAGAAGCTAAAAAACTATAATTCTAAATTAAATTGCTCAACCGTTATTTTTAGCATATATAATATTTTTAATATTATGAAGACAAAAGTCAAATTCTTGTTTACAAAGGTTAATTTGATCCAATATTCCTTTTTGAAATTAATTTCTAATATAGGGACCCTGTATAGGAGGGTTAGCGGTTAGCGGCGGAGAGTTCGTTCCTTTCATACTCCCTCCTCCATCTAATTAACTTTTTTTAACAGAACATTTATGTACCATCTGCCTTAAAGTTTTGTTTTTACATATAGTTTGATTAGATTTTCATACAGGCGCTGCAAAATAAGCGTTTTAATGAAATAATTTTATTTTGGTGAATATCATGTAGCTGGAATAGTTATTGTAAAATAATAATTTTTATGCTAAAAAATAATAAATAACGATATTGTTAAGCTCAACATTGATAAATTAGTAAATAATCAAGAAAAATTTTTCTTGAAAAACAGCTTGTAAACCTATAACTTAACAAGCCTTTCTTCCTGTTTTTGGTGAAAAATTGAATAAATATTCTCCAAACTATGCTTTGTCAGCGGTATTTTTTTCAGGGCAACTGATTACTTAAAACTTGAATTTTAAGATAATATATAGACTTTGGTATAAAACAAGAATTGGAAGCTGATCCAGGAGCATAAACATTAATGCTTACATCTGGACATAAGTAGGTGAGTGTAAGTTCTACAAGTTCATTATAATCACCTCTTGGAAATACTAGATTGGCAACTGCATATTTGCAAAATTGAACAATTTTTTCAATTTTTTTTTTTTCTAGATACGTTCCTTTAACTGCAGCTTTGTCAAACTTTTGAAACTTTGATTTATCCATACTTTCCTTTGTTGCGTTCCGATTAGCTTGGAAAACTTTGGACATCAGTTTTTCAGGAGCATAATTGCTCCTGAAAATCTGATATTCAAAGTTGATGTTCAAAATAAAACAACATTGTTTTACCAATGTGATCTTCTTAATAAAAATGTTTACAGTGAAACTCGGAAACATGTCTTCGACATGCAAGCTCTAATATAATTGAACCCTGTGTTTGACAAAACCTAATGTATGTGCAGGAATATTTTTTTGTATTAGTTGCAGTTGTATCAAAGCACAGACCTTTTATATAAGTTCTTAGCTTATATTCATCAAAAATGTTTATTAAATATCATGATGAGATTTTCCAGTATCGTTTTCCATAGGCGGAATGCCAAAAAGTCTTAAATCACCATCGATATTTACAAGATCAGCAAAACGATCTCTATTTTGTTTTGTACCATTAGTAATATTCTGCAAGGTTATTCCATCAAAGAGTGCAAGTATTGAAAATTTACTTTGACTTACAGCTTTTATTATATCTTTTCAATGTTTAGCTGCACATGTATTTATTGCTTTCTTTTTTGCACGCCTGATAGATTCAGAAAGCGAGAAATCTGTCTAATTGCCCCCATAAGTAACTGTCAGAGAGCAAATGCATCATATTTCTAGATGAAATATAATGAGAAACACCTGTAATTGCAACTTCTTTTGCAAATTTTTAGGTAATAATGTTGAAGCACTAGTACCTGATTTAATTTCGCCTGCAGAATAGTCGGAATCTTGACAAGAAGAGGCCTCGCTTTATTGAGATGATAAAAACTCATTTTCTCAGTTTAATCCTTTTGTTGCTCAATAAATGTTAAATATTGCTATCTTCTTTCTTCTATCTTTCTCAGCTTTTGGCAATATGCTAAATCCTTGGCACCAAGTGTCATTTTACGTTTTCTTCATTTGATCATTTAAAAATTGCCTATCTGAATTGTATGAATTTGGGTTGTTTCCATGTTTCTTCTTCAAAATGGAGCGAGTATCAGATTTTCCAATCCAAAAAACTTTCTTAGCATTTTTTTAAAGATGTTTCTAGCTAATTCTGCTGCGTTGCCTTTTTTATTTTAACTTTTTTTTCAACATTGCCCATTTTTCAACTAGATCATTTAATAGTTTTCTAGAACATATAATACTTATTTAACTTTTTTCTAATTGCTTTTAAACTTTTTTAAAGTAGCCTCATATCAGAGGCAGAGTGAAAAGAGTCATGTTAACAAACTAATATAAGCAAAAAGAAAATTCGGTAAAAATAAAAAAACTTTAATTATAAATTAGTTAGCAAACCTGTTGTGTTTGTCATGAAGTATGCCGCCGTCATATCCTCCATCGATCTACGGTTTCTTTATAGCAAAATGGATGCAGTTCTGAGGGCATGTTGCTAGTTCAGAGCATGCTGACATCATTTTATCTTGGGAAGCACAACCAATCAAAGTTTTAGTGAGAGTGTTTTTGTCTGACAGACGCCTGAGTTATTAAGATTAAATTTAGATTTTATATATTTCGTTTTTCAAACAAAAATTTAATTACTTGGTGAAAATATTGAATGATAATTTTTGATCACTTTAATGTTTTAATCATACCTGTAATGAAAATGAAGAATAATTTCTTTATTTGTTGCAAACTGTATTTCAGAATGTTTTTCTAACACTTTTTTTCTTTAAATAAAAATGTCTTTGAAAGAGGTCTCGTAATTTTTGGTAGCATCTTTACTTTTTTTTTAAACCATTGTTTTATTTTTGATTTTTAAGTAAAAGTTACAAATTACAGTTTCTAATAAAAATTTTCTAATATTCTTAGTGTAAGTAGAAGTATGGCACTAATTCGTTTTTAAATCTTTTCTAATTTTTTTAGAATAAATAGTTCGAAAAAAAAAGATAGCTTTTGTTTGTGACACATGTGATTCATTCGATTGCAAGCGTAATTCTTTTTAAATATGCTTAAAAACTATACTAAATTAGTGTCTTTTAAGCTGTTTTTCTTGACCTAAATTAGTATATATCCTATTCTCGTAAACTTCTCAACCAATTCCAAAATAATATTTAGGCCTTTTAGAGTTCATAGAAAAAAAATTGGTGTTTTATGTTTAAGGTCCCCGCCTTTTGGTTAAAAAAAAACAGGTCAACTAATCCAGGTGGTTAGGATTTAGTATGAAAAAATTGTTAAAAAATGCCGCACCCTATTTTAAATTATTATCACTATTAATAAATAAAAATAATAATATAAATAATTATATAATATAAATCATTAACAAACCCAAATGTTGATTAAATGCCAAGTAGTAGCTCCCTTGAAAAAACAAAATAAGAAAACTAAAATAGTAAAGACCTTATAAACAAAAATTGCAACAGCAATTTTTATCAATTTTACTAAATTAAACTTCACTAAATTAAAAAGACATTTAATCGGTGACAAAGAAAAGAGTCTTTTCAGAATTTTTGAATAAAATAGAAAAAGAACTAAGTAAAGAACAAGTTGAGTATGTTTATTTTTTACCACATTGCCACAGCAGTCATGTAAACCACAGCAGTCATGTAAACTACAGCAGTGGTTTCAGATGTCATGTAAATCACAGCATGGTATCACCGCAGTCATGTAAACCACAGCAGTCATATAAACTACAATTCATTTCGATGGTGATAGAAAAGATAAATACACATCATAAAGTTTCAACCAAGTTGGATGCTTATTTTACAAATAAAAGACGTTTAAAGCAATGAAATGTTTTGCAATTCAGGATGAAGAAACATTTAAATGTATCTGTTGGGTCATTCTATGCCAATTGGAGAAAAGATCCCTTATGAGCCATCTCAGATTTTATTGAAACGTTTTGATTTTGTACATATATATAAAAACAAAATGTTTTGAAAATTTTAGATAAATATCTAATATGGTTCTTGAGAAAACGCTATTTAAGTAGTGGGCTTTTTTGAATAAAGTTTCGCTCTACAAAAAAAAGGTTTTTTTCATCATTTTTAACGGCTAATAACTTTTAAACTAGTTGGTTTTATACTATAATAAGATAGCAAGTGTTGCTATGGATACTTGCTATCTCATTATAACAAATAATTTAAAGGCATCTTAACTTTTTCCATAATGGCGGGCTAAAATTGATATTTTTGATTTAAGATTAAAATTTTGTATGATTTTAAAAAGCTTAATCTTAAAAACAAGTTCAAAAATTAATACCAATCAAATTGTCTGTTGATCAACACGTGGTGGAGAAATATTTTAAAAAAAATTAGTTGATTAAAGAGTTGCAATCTAAAGTTATCAGTCATCAAAATGAGTTGAATCAAAATTTTCTTAAAATTGATCTAAGATGGCACTTTTTTTTTTCATAAATATCTGAAATAAAAAATATCTGAAATTAACAAAATGAATAAATGCATTAAACTAAAGGCAAAACAGCCCACTAATTAAATAGCATTTTCTCAAGAAGTATATTAGATATTGATCTAAAATTTTTAAAACAGCTTTTCTCACATATATGTACAAAATTAAAAAGTTTCAATAAAATTTGAGATGGATCCATAAGAAACATCATGAAAATTTGCTCCACTTGACATGAAATGACCCTGTTGATAAAACAAAGAAACATAGTGATTGCTCTTCAAAACAGTTAAATTTGGTTTGGTAAAAAGATTAATTTGGTTTGTTTATCAATAAGTACGATTTTGAAAGCAAAAAAAATCAATTATTACAGCCAAAAATGTAGTCGCATTATAAAGTGAGATATTTTTTAATTTTAATATTAAGGTTGGTTAGATTGAGTAAAAATTATTGGATTATACTCTGTTTTATTATTTATAAAAATTTGGAAATATTTCATCCAGTAATTAAAGTTTTGAAAACTTATTTGTTAGAAAAAGCGACTGTGAACACTTAATCGATTGTTTACCTTGTAATCTTAACAACTGTATTTATGCAATCACCCTGTATAACAATTATATTAGTATTTACTAAAAGAATTAGAAAGACGATTATAACACCAGTTACAATGGTATTATGGGTAAATAAGTTGTAAGAAATAAGTCAATAGTATTATGGGTAAATAAACTATAAAAATTAAGTCAATAGTTACTAGTAGAATTTTTTTTTTCCTCTCTAAAATCGAATATTCTTTTATATACAATTAATTATATAGAATTGATTATTTTAGAGTTTCGGTTTTCAAATTTGTTTCATATGACTAAGTAAAGATTAGGAACTAACTGAATCAGAAGTTTTCTAAAAATCATAATTTTTTTCTTCTTGGTTGTCATCGTTTTATCTTTGCATCATTATCATATACTAGATATACTTCAAATGTTAATGACCAAACAAACAATGATAATTACTATCATTGTTTGTTTGGTCATTAATATTTGAAGTATATCTAGTATATGTTTAAAAGTTTTCTCTACATAACCGAATGTAAAACGTGTATGGCATTATGTTAAATTACAAAAGAAATATTATAGGAAACTTATGTAAGCAATAAAACACATAAGATAAAACAACTTATATAATATGAGTAAACACATTGATTGCATAATTGATATTTTATATGACTGTAATATAATAATATATTATGATTTTTAAATAAATAGTATTCACATACTAACGTTGTATTTTGTATTTAAATTTAAATAAAGTTTATTATTTCAGACTTAGATGTTCGTGTAGGATGTGTGTTGGGTCATCATTTAGTTACAAAAGAGCTATGGGCAATCCATCGTAATCAGAAATCATATTTATATTTTCATGGATTTTACGGAAAATGGTTGGCTGTGAGCAAAGGAGACAATATAGCTGCTAGTAATTTTAATAAAAGTATGAGAATGAGTTTAGAAGATGATGAAGATCAAGTTTATACTTTTGGATTGAATCAGTGGATGGGTATGATATATATATATATATATATATATATATATATATATATATATATATATATATATATATATATATATATATATATATATATATATATATATATATATATAGCTTGAGACTTTTTTAGTTTATGTTTCCAATTTTTAAATTGTCCAAATTTAATGTCCAAATTTTTTAATTTTTTTAATAAAAAAAAAAAATTTGTGATTGTGATGGAAGCAAATCTTTTTAAAAGTAGTTTTAAAATACTTTAAAATGTTTAATTTTTATAAACATCTAAGTTAATAAAATAAGTTGTGACACAATTTCTAATCATAAGAAAACATCTTTTTTAGTTGTCGTTTACAAAATTGAATTTCAATTTTAATTTATTAATCTACTAATATACTAATCACTAGAATTGCATTGACATTATTTATAACTTATTTAATGAATAATCTAAAATATTTTTTTTTTCCAGTCAAAAAATCTTATATAAACTAAACTTTATTAATTTTACTCAACTTTTGTTTTAAACTTGCAGACAAAGATTATATTTTAAGAAGAGAATCAATAAAAGACTAAAACTCTCTTTACCCTTTTATTGATTGTTTTACTCAAAGTTTTAGTTTAAAGAATTTGAATAATCTCGTTGGGAAATTCAAAAACTAATCTATTATTGAAAAGGCAAATTTGCTTCTTTTTTTGTTTTTTTTTTAATGTTCTGACTTCTTTTTTAGTATACAGCCAATATACAATACCCAGCCGACAAATAACGTTGAAATAACGTTGAAATATCGTTGAAACCTAGCGTTGAATTAACGTTGGTTTAACGTTTAGAATGAAAGTTTTTTTCAACGTTGATTTATCAACGTTAAATTAACGTTAGGTTCAAACGTTATATCAACGTTGATTCGACGCGAAAAAACGTTACAATAACGTTGAATTTACGTTGATTTAACGTTTAGAATGAAAGTTTTTTTCAACGTTGATTTATCAACGTTAAATCAACGTTAGATTCAAACGTTATATCAACGTTAATTCGACGCGAAAAAACGTTACAACAACGTTGAATTTACGTTGACACAACGTTTAAAATGATAGTTTTTTTAACGTTGATTTATCAACGTTAAACGACTGTAAAATACTTTTTCACCATCAAAACGTGCTATGTATGTCAAAATGTATATATGTAAGTAAACGTGCTATGTGCGTCAAAATATGATCACCATCAAAACGTACTATGCATGTACATTAGTGTTGCTGTACATTATCAAGGTATATTATGGATATTAAATCTATTCATAGTCTATACTTAGACTATTTAGAACTTTTTCAGTTTAGCTTAGTTAAAATAGCTAGGTATGATTAAAGAAAGAGATAAAACTTGTTTTATTCAAAAATACATATTCAAATATTAAATATATTTACACGTAATTGAATAAAATCTACACAAATTTCTTCTCTTTTCCACCACCTTTTTGAAATAAAGCGTAATTTAGAAAGTCAAACAATGTTCCATTAACCGAGGGTTTTTTTGGTCCATTGAGTACAATATAAGAAGCTGTAAATAAAAAAATATATTAAAAAAAAACAAAAAGGGAAGATTTAAAAAATAAATAATGAATGGAAAAGTGTTACAACTTATGAAGGTATATCTTCTTCAACGCCATATAGATTAGTGTTCTTAAAACATATTTTTCCACCTTTGCCCTTCATATCCATGGAGGCCATATAACTTTTCGAAAATACTCTGAGTTTTTAAAAAATAATATAACTGTTAGTTGGTTATTAATAACTTTTTCAAATATTTAATTTAAATAAAACAACCTTTTTAATATATTAAAAATAAATTAATAATCAAAATATAAAACATTTCTAGCATTGAAAAATAATTTTCGGGGTGGCCACATAAAATTTTTATAAGAAATTTTATGTGGCCATTTATTAATGGTTTAACGTCCATGTTTATACACTTATGGGGCTTGGCAAGGGATCAAATAATGTCATTTGTTATGTTAAATAGCATGCATTTTCTAAAGCAATTTTTTACAATTCCATGCACTTTAAGGCGTTAACCAGTTTTGCAGACCGAGAATGGGTATTTTGAACATTATACATCCATCAAAAATTAAAAAAGGAAGAATTAATGAGGAGCTTTGATCAATTTTTTACATCTTTAGAGGATAATAGAGGATTTTAGAAGTGGTTTTAAAAAAAGAGCTGCAGACATTCTGATTATAAATGAGGTAACTCCACCAATTAACTGTAATTGATTTATCTGTAAAAAAACATGAAGTAAAACTAATATTATGCTTGTGGAGATATATTATATTGTGGAGAACCATCCAAACCACACAAGTGGAAAATTTGCATCGAAGTTTCCACTTGTGTGCAAATCTTGCACCCACTTGACAACATTCTCATTATCACATTTTTCTTTTGTAGTTGTGAAATGAAGAAACCATAATATAAGTGTACTAACAGGCCTAATTAAACTAGCTAAATTTGAACATTTTATAACCATGATACTTGCTAAACAATAATATTAGTAGATATTATAAGCAAAGATAAGATTTTCTTTATTTTATAAATTTATTATATTTTAAACTCATTTTTATTAATTTATTTATTACTCTATTATTCAGCAGAGTTCTGAATATATTATGTTCAAATAACTTAAGGCTCAATAACAAAGACAAATAATGAAAGAATACTAGGTTGCTAAAACATAAACATCTACATAAGATAATTATGGAATATTGAAAAAAAATAGAAATACAAAAAAACAAAAATACTCATTATTAATATAAAATATAATAGTATAATATAAGGTATATTATAATATATGACACAATAATATCTACTTTTAATTAAAATATAAAAACAACAAAAATTAAAAAAGAAAATATTTTGATAAATAATAAATTATCATTCAAACAATTTTCAAGACCAAAAAATAACTTGTAACTTATTTTTTTACTTATCTTCATCTAATAAACATTACTTATTTTTTACTCATCTTCATCTAATAAACATTAATATTAATACCAATTTTAAACATTATTAGAATTTTTTTTTTATCAAAAAATAAAAATATTACATCAGTTACTTTTTGGGCTTTTCTTATTTTACTTAAAACATCAACTCAATTCTAGGCTTTTTTCATTATTGAGTTTTAATTTGTAATGTTGAATTAACACTGAAAAAAAAAAATATTAGCAGACAAAAAGAAAATATTTCTTTATTGAAATATATGTAAATATTTCAATAAAGAAATTTTAGATCGATTTTTATAAATATAAATTTATATCAATCAATCTAAATTTTTTTCTTTTCCGCCACCTTTTCGAAATGAAGAGCATTTTTAGAAATTAGGCAAAATGCCATCAATTAAAGTTTCAGTCGCTCCATCGTATTTAATAGAAGAAGCTGTTAATAAAAAAGAATTAGAAAAAAAAAAAATAATAAAACACAAGGAGAAATTTTTGAATATATAAAAAATGAAAATAAAAAAGTTTTACATATCTTATAAAGGTATACCTTTCACTACACCATATAAATTAGTGCTCTTAAAGCATATTTCCACCTTTCCCCTTCATATTCATGGAGGTCACAAAATTGTTGGAAAATATTCTAAATTTTAATAGATAAGAGAACTGATATTAATTGTGCGAGAACTAATATTAATTTTTTTTTTTTAATTTAAATTGAACTCATTATCAAACAATTTTTTTGCTAAATAATTTAATCCTTAAAATTCCTGAATAATTAAAAATTATTTTGATTACCTTAGCATTTTAAAGATATTCCATTGATTGCAATTGATTCACCTAAAAAAAAACAACAAGTAAAGCTAATATTATTGTTTAAAATTTTAATTATCTTTATACAAACACTCATCATATTTTTAAAGTGACTGATAAAAATGGATTTAATTAAAATCACTTCATTTGTATTAAAAAATTAATATTAAAGCCTTAATCATACATTATACAAGAGTATTTTGTAATACAATCTAAATAGTTGTTGCGATATGTAATTTTTTTATCCAAAATTTAGCTTCTGTAAGCTTTAGAAATTTTTTAAAGAAATTATTGATGAATTTGGATCTACGGGTACTAATGTTTTTATATTGTTGTAATGTTTGTATTCATTCCCTGTTAGTTTCTGTAAGTCAAAATTTTAAGGTGTTTCCATAATAAATTCTGTTATATCTGAAATTTAGTGTTAGTCTGAATAATTTAATTTCTAAAATCTGTTTTGCATTGCCTGTCTTATAACATCTTTACTTGGAACAAAAACCATGTGGTTTAAAAGTGAGCTAGAAGCTTTCAACAATGAAGAAAATATTGCATTCAGTAATCCTAAAAATATATTCAACCTGTCAGCAAAATCAGCTGTCAATAATCCAAGTATTAGCATCATTAAAAATTCATCTTTGCTGCATTATATTTATTTTGGTCCAAGTAGTTAAGGATTTTTTTAAATTTCAAAAAACAGAAGTAAATGTTTTTTTAATATCACTTTATCTCTTTTGATTAATGGTGATACTGCACTAACGGATGAAACACATTGACAGATGTAAGGCCAGTATAAAAGTCGCAAGATCTATTATTTTTAAAATAAATTTTTGTATACAAGTAAATTGCAATAACACGATTTGTTTGGATTATGTTTATATACAAGTTTGTCTGTTTTCATAGTAATAACTGATGTGGTTGAAGTTAATTTTTCAAATAAATCTTTATTTTTTTATTTCGTGCTGAAGTTATTTTTTAAAGTTATCAATTTCCTTTTTTAATTCTTGATGCTCTATTAAAAAACAACGCTTAACATTAATAATAATTAATAATTTAACATAATTTAATGGATCATTTTTTGAAAAAGCTGTATTATATTTACATTTAATAATATCAGTCTTTGAGCATTGTAGCCCAAGTAAACGAAAAATATCGATTTTTAAACGATAATGTTCTTTCAGGAAAATCGTCTGAACATGTTTTCGATCTCTTGAAAATTCTATA